ACCCACCCAAACTCGGAGTCCTGCTCGGATCCCTGGAGTGAGACGCTGGCCCGCCCTTCTCGGAGAAGAGATGGCTCGAGAGTGAGCTGGGAGTGGAACCGTCTGCACCGCACGAATGTCCTGGGCGGGCACACACCCGGGGTCCGCCCCTTCCCAGGCACACGTGGGTGCTGCCGGTTCCCAGGGCGACCATCAACACAGGCAGGACTTCTAAACACAGCTGGGCACAGATGCTCTCCCCAGTCTGGAGGGCTTCTGTTACCATCAGCCACTCTGAGCGGGGTGGGAGAGGGGTGTCCTGTGGGGAACAGTGAGAAGGTCCCCTGTACAGGCTCTCCTTGGGTTAAAACAGGGGACGTCCTCTGAAAGGTTTCTCTCTCTCTCTCTCTCTCTCTCTCTCTCTCTCTCTCTCCCCCCCCCCCCCCTCCCCCTCTCTCTCTCTCTCTCTCTCTCTCTCTCTTTCTCTCTCTCTCTCTCCCCCCTCCCTCCCCCCTCCTCCTCCTCTCTCTGTCTCTCTCTGTCTCCCTGTCTCTGTCTCTCTCTGTGTGTCTATGTGAGTCTGTGTGTATGTGTGCCCTCCTCCCTTCCCCTCCCTTCCGCTCCCATGGGAAGCCGGCCCACGGAGGGGCTCTCCAGAACTACATCCGCAGTCCATACCAGGCCTCCTGCCTCAGTTTCCCTGGCCACCCGGGTTGGCCCTGCAGGGAGCAGGAGTCTTGCTGGTGGCCACCAGGGTCCAGGAGCTCCGCGGGAGGCCCTAGGTGTGCAGCAGGACCAGCTGTGGCGGGAACTCGTGGAGGCGGAGGGGCGAGGCCAGAGGCGCTGGTGAGTGTCCTGCCCTACCTCCACCTGCTTTGGGGTCTAAGAATGTTCTGGGGCAAGGGAGAATGTCTGAAAAGATGAAGGACAGAGCATGGGGCTGGGTTGACGCAGGAGGCAGGCTCTGAGCCAGAAGTGGGCTAAAGGGTCTGGAAAAGCAAGGGGAAGCCAGCCAGCCCCTCATTCTCAGTCTGACTGCCCCGGTTGTCCTACTAGCCAGGGCCCTGATCCCATCTCCTATGCACTGCAATCCCTCCAGCTGGCCACAGCGGACTAGACTGGAGGATGCTTGCAGCAGGAAAGCTGTGGCAAAGCCTGGTGAGGGATGCTGGCTTCCAGCCTTGGGGAAAGAGCCTCCTTCAGGCCTTCATTCAAAGATAACTGAGCCTTTGTGGGCTGCCAAAGGAATTCGAGTAGCTTTGGCCAGGGCTCCATGGGACCTCCATTCAGGGACCCAGCAGAGAAGTGGGGAGGCTAGGCTAGGTAAGTATGGTACCCCTGAGCTGTATTCCTACACCAAATTTGGTGTTTTTAAGACAAAACCAGAGAATGTCCTGTGGCTGAGGCAAAGTCGGAAGGAAAGCCACCAGAGAAGGCCATCCAAGCACTTGTCAAAGTCTAGATGCCAAATGTAAGGACACACTGTTCAGGGCTTTACCCATGGTCGTATTTTTAGTTTCCTTGTGTTTTTTATTTGTTTGGTTTGGGTTTTGTTGGTTATTGTTGTTGTTGTTTCAGTGCTGGGGATCGAACCCAGGGCTTTGCAAAGGCCAGCAAGCACTCTGTCACTGACTCAACACCCCAACCCATATCTAAATGACCAGTTTAGTAGGTCTCTGGGCCTGTTCATCTTGTATAACTGAAACTTTATGCCTATCAGCAGGCAACCCTCCACTTCCCCTTCCTCTAGCCCCTGACTTTTCTGTGCTCCTGTGACTTTGCCTGTCATGGAATCATGTGGTATTTGACTTTCTGTGTCTGGCTTACTTCACTGAGCATGGCCTTTGTGTCCATCCACAGTGGCACATGTCAGAATTTCTTTCTTCTTTAAGTCAGAATAATAGTCTATTGTGTGGGCATACCACATTTTCTTGTCCACTTTTCATGTCCACATTTTGACTATTGTAGCATGGCAGTGAATGTGAAGTACAGGTATACCTTTAAGATCCTGATTTCTGCCTCTCAGATCTTCAGAAGTGGGATCATACAACAGTTCTAGTCATGTTCTGAGGAACTTCCCTACCATAACCTTGCCAGTACTCGCTGACTTTTTGTGGATTTTTTAAATTGTTTTTTTGTTTGCCTGTTTGTTTTTGTTTGGTTGGTTTTGGTTTTTTATGTGGGTTTTTTCTGTTTTGTTTTTGCTGTTTTGGCGACTTTTATTTTTTTCTATTGACTGTCCTAACACACATGAGATAATATCTCAACTGTGGTTTTGATTTACATTTCCCAGATGGTATGTTACTTTTCTCAGTACTGTGACAAAATATTTGACAAAATGGACTGGCGAGATGGCTCAGCGGTTAAGAGCACTGGCTGCTCTTGCAGAAGACCTGGGTTCAGCTCCCAGCACCCACACCACAGTTAACAACTGTCTGTAACTCCGGTTTCAGGAGATCTGACATCCTCTTCTGACATCTGTGGGCATTGCACTTATATACATATCACTTATATACATAAAATAAAAATAAATTAAAAAGATAATATTTGACAAAAGTAGTTTAAGGAAGGAAGGGTTGCTTGGGCTCACAGTTGGAGGGTACAGTCCATCCTGGCAGGGAAGTCATGGCAGCAGGAGGTTGAGGCAGTTGGTCACATTGTGTCCACAGTCAGGAAGTAAAGAGTAATAAAGGCTGGTGTTCAGCTCTCTTTCTCCCTTTTGTTCAGTGTAGGGCTCCAGCCTACACATGTGGTACTGTCTACATTCAGAATTGGTCTTCCCTCCTTGGTTAAACCTTTCTGAAACCCTCGTAGACACACGTAGCAATGTTTCCATGATTATTCTAAATCCAGTCCAAGTGGACGATGAAGGTTAACCATCACAGTGAGAGATGTTGAACATCATCTGTTCTCCTGCCTTTGTTCACTTGCATGCCTTCTTTGGAACAGTCTCTCCTCGAGTCCATCGCCTGTTTTTCAAATTGGCTTGTTCGGCTTTATGCTATTAAGTGGTAGGGATTTCTTATATATTTTGCAAATTAACTCTTTATCAGATGCATTGTTTGCAGATATTTTCTTCCATTTCAGAGGTTGCCTTTTCCCTCTGTTGACTCTTTGCTGCATCCCTGTGGATATCTTGCTTTTCACCTGCGCTTTTGATAGTATATCCAGGAGGTCACTGTCAAGACCGCTGTCCTGAAACTTTCTCCTGTGTTTTTTTGTTTGTTTGTTTATTTTGGTTTTGTTCTAGTTTGTTTTCTATTGCTGTGATCAAACTGACCAAAAGCACCTTGGGGAGGAAAGGGTTTATCCAGTTTACACTTCATATCATAGTTCATTATTGAGAGAAGCCAAGGCAGGAACTCAAGCAGGGCAGGAATCTCGAGGCAGAAACTGAAGTAGAGACCATGGAGGAAGGCTGCTTACTGGCTTGCTCCACTACTTTTCTTATGTAAGTTATTGATTTCTACTTTATGTGTACGAGTGTTTTGCCTACATATATGTATGTGTACCATGTGCAATGCCCACAGAGGCCAGAAGAGGTGTCAGATCCTCTGGAATTAATTACTGACCCTTATTAGCCACCATAAGGGTGCTGGGAACGAAACCTGGGTCCTCTGCGAGAGCAGTCAGTACTCTTAAGAGCTGAGCCATCTCTCCGGCCCTAACAGCTACTTATAGAGCCCAGGCCCACCAGCCCATGGATGGCACCATCAATAGCAATCAAGATATGCCCACAGGTTAGCCCAATGGAGGAAATTCTTCAATTGAGGTTCCCTCTTCCCAGGTGACTCTAGTTTGTGTCTAGATGGCAAAAAATAATCAGCACAATTTTGGTTTTGTTTTGTTTTGTTTTAGGTGTTGTTTATGCTTTGGTCTTGTTATTTGTTGTTGTTGGCGTTATTTGTTTATTTTTTAGCTGACTTTTGTGTGTGGTCTAAGACAAGGTAAATGTTACTGTTTTGCCTGTGAAAAGCTATTGTACTGTAAAGGAAACAATGGGGGGTGGGGCAGGCAGCCTGCAGGAGGCTGAAGGAGTGAATATAGAAAAAGAGATTGTAGAAGAAGTGGACAGATGCCAGGAGCTCCAGCTCCATCAAAATATAAGCAGTAAATATCAATCTAACCAGATCAAGAATATAATTCTTTTTGGAGAGTGAGGGCAAGGGAGGCAGATCAGAATGCCAAATCATCATTCCTGTAATGGGAAATCAAAGGACTGGCTGGGGATATAGCTCAGTGGTGAAGGACTTGCCTGGCATTCACAAAATCCTGGGTTCTATCCCTAGCACAGAAAAAAAAAATTTAAAGAGAAGTTAATGGATAAGTTTAAATCTTTAAACAATACAGCAACAGAGGCCGAGAATAGAGTTAACTGGTACAGTACTTGTTACGGGACTGGGGGTGAAGCTCAGTTGGTAGAGTGCTTGCTTAGCGTGCATGAAGCTTTAGTTTTCTTCCCAGCATCACATAAAAACTGGGCATAGTGATGTACACCTGTAATCAGGAGTTCAGGGCCAGCCTCAGCTATATGAGACTCTATCTCTAAAAAAGAAAAAAAATCTAGCAATGGAGCCTGGTCTGATAGCATGCACCTTTAATTCCAGAGCTCCGGAGGCTTAGACAGAAAAGTTGCCTCAAGTTTGAGGGTAGTCTTGGCTACAGAGTGAGACCCTGCTTCTAAAAAAGGGAAGTGGGGGGAGACGGGCGTTGGAAGTATAATTCAGTTAGTAGATTGGTTGCCTAGCATGCACAAGCCCTGGGTTCAGTTCCCTGCACTGTATAAACCAGACGTGGTGGTTGTACTCCTATGATCCCAGTACTTGGGAGGTAGAGACAGGAGAATCAGGAATTTAAGGTCCTATTTTGATATATAACAAGTTCAAGGCCAACTTGGGATAAACATACTATTTTCAAAACACGGGGGCAAAAGGCTGAAGAAATAGGTAAAAGACTACTTTTAGAAACAGAGTCAGGCTGGGAGGCATGCACCTATAATCCTAACACCAGGTAGGCAGAGGCAGGAGAAGCTCAGATTTGAAGTCAGCTTGGGCTACATAGTAAGTATATAGTGAGACCCTGTCTGAAACAAAAGACTTACAAACATGGCCAAGAAGATGGCTCAGTGGGCTAAGACACTTGCTACCAAGTTCACCAAGGCACACCTGAATTCAATCCCTGTAACCCGGTGGAAAAACTGACTCCCACAGATTACCCTCTGACCTCAACATGGGCCTTGTGAGACACACACACACACACACACACACACACACACACACACTCAAACACACAATAAATAAATACAGTTTGAGTTGGTGAGGTGGGGGGTGCTCAGGAGCTGTGAAGGTGGGAAACAGAAGCTATTTTTATTGTTAAGTGCTGTATAATCATTTGGCTTTAAGAAACAGATTCCAATAAAAACCAAACTATTCTGCAGGTCTTCAATCGGATTACCATCCTCCCTTCTCCTGTCCTCACCTGCCTTGCTCAGCTACATCCCAAAAGATTTCCAGGGTTTGAGGACAGAAAATCATTTTTCTTCTGAAAATGCAAAAGCTCATGGCCTGATCTCAGCCATCAGTTTCCCTAGCAATGCAGGTGACAGTTAAGGAAACGTCAGTGGTTCCTACAGCACTGTAGATACAGCATGGGCCCTTGTTATTTATTGCAGTTCTGAAGTATTTCATCTCCTCCATGTTGTGATATAAAGACATAAACTCAGTGGAAGTCAGTCCAGAATATTCCAGAGAGAACTCACACTGCCTGTGCTTTCCTTTCCAGGGCTGAGAATTGGAGTTTCCTGAAAGATTATGATCCAATGGTAAGATGACTCACCCCTACACCCACCTAATCCCCCGCCCCCGCAAACATGCTTACAGTGTGCATATTCTTCCTTCACTAATATTTATTGAGTACCTATTCTGCTTAAGTAAGGAACACAATAGTGTTTTAAGGAACTCAAGGTCTGGTGGAGAAGAAAATATTTATATAAAACATTTAGAAAAGAATTCCTCAGTGATTGTTGATATATTAAAAATGATCTACCTGGAGGCTGGAGAGATGGCTCAGAGGTTAAAAGAACTGGCTCCTTCTGTAGAGGACAGGGAGTTCCGTTCCCATCACCTATGTGGCAGCTAACAACTGACTGTAACTCCAGTTCCGGGAGATTCAACACCTTCTTCTGGCCTCCATGGACATTGTATGGCATGGGTACACCCACATACATGCAGGCAAAACACACATGCACGTAAAATAAAAATAAGTAAAAATTTTAAAGTAATAAGTAAATAAAATCTTTAAAATGAACCATCTGGAAGTGACAGGCATTTGCTGCTTGCTGAAATTTCTTCCTGGTTGAGAAGACTGAAACATATGGGAATATGTATGTGCTCAGTCCCACAAGGAGAACAGACTTGATTAAATGTTCTCCCTGAGTCTAATATCTTCCCCTCCAGTCCATCCTCCACACTGCAGGAAGTGAATGTCATCAAGATCCCTTCTAGCTCACACTCTGTGGTTTCTAGGTCCGAACTGGGACGTCTGGGAGTATCCAGAGAACACCCCAGATATAGTGTGCAGGTTCCTTCTTTCCCCACCCAGAGTGTGACCTGAATGTCCTCTCTCCCTAGGGCAATAAGAAGGAGCCTGAAAAGCTGCCTGTGGACCTACCCCTCTTCTCTGACACATTCCCCAGCTCAACAAGCCGAGTGGTAGGCAGTAGGGTGGACACGCCCCTGGGGAGGGCCCTCACCCACATGGACTTCTTCTTCATGGAAGGCACTCGGAAAAGGAAGCAGGAGGATGAGCTCCAGCCAGTGTAGAGGAGGTGTGTGCCTCGGAGAGTAGGTATGGAGTAGACTCTGAGCCCAGGCAGCCTTTGGAGGATGCTCTTGGCCCTGGCCCACATGGTGCAGGGGGAGGATTACAGAAACCCACCCAGAATTCCAGAACCCCAGCCCTTCGAGCTCAGGACCCTGGGGACCCTGGAAAGGGAGGCCAGTGTCAAGGTCAGGAACATGTCTCCTGGGTTCAGTCTAATCCAGGTTGCTCATGACCTCTGTGCCTCAGTTTCCCTATTTGTAAGATGCTATCTTCACTGTCTTTGGCAGCTGCAGCAAAGGGCCACAGCTCAGTACTTAAGGCAGCACAAATGTGTCATCTTACCATCTAAAGGTCCTAAGTTCCATATGGGGAGTCCCTGGGCCAAAGTCAAGGTGTTAAGGAGTCGTGTTTCTTTCAGAAGTTGAGGAGGCATCTGTTTCCATACCTTTAAGGTTCTTTGGGCTGAGGTGGGGGCTAAGGGGTGGTGAGTAGATTGTTTGGGTGAGTCAAGGTCTCAGGTAGCTCAGGCTGGCCTCAAAGTTGCTATGTAGCTGAGGATGACCTTGGACTCCTGATCCTCCTGTTTTACAGAGCTGGGCCTGTTAGTTTCTACAGCTTTCATTGGCCTGCAGCACCTCACTTAGCTTTAAGGTTGGCATGGTAGTCACTCAAGTCCCTACCCACCCTTCCTCCTTCCTCTCTTCTGTCTCCCTCCTTTAAGGATCCCTTCTGATTATACTGGGTTTACCCTGATAATCCAGAATCATCTTTCCATCTGCTCAGAAGGCCAGCCTCCTTGGGTGAGAAAATGAGGGTTGAAAGAGAAGATGGAGAGTTGGAGACTTGGCTCAGTGTTGGAGTGTTTACACAGGGTCTAGGCTTGGTCTCCAGTGAGGGTGTGGTAGAATGTGTGAATTTCAGAAGAGCCACATCCTCATTAAGGAAAGCCATAAATCCCTTAAAGTGTCTAACTGGCCCTAAATTTGCAGCCTGGCTTGCTCAAGCCTTATCAACTAGTCACTCCCTGGACTGAGAGAGACTGTTTATAGAGCCTGTTTACTTTGGTGTTACAGATAACTCACCTGCTTGCCTGAGAAAATAGTCTTGGGAAAAGGGACCCTCAAAGATGCCAGATCCTGGCACAGAGTTAGCGCTTGCAGCTGTGTACAGCAGAGTTCCTATATAAGTCCAAACTACTGCCCATTTCAATGCAGATACTCATTCTGCTCAGAAGAGCTTATCAGCCTTTGCTGGGTTTCTTGAATCCAGGAAACCCATTCCTTGCCTGTTGTAGGTCTGACTCTGACTCTTATTTCTAAATTTTAAATTCCTTCCTTTTTCTGCCCTCCTAAATCTAACAGAGTATGCTTTTAATGATATTTTCTTGGGTTTTATTTATACTTCAGCTAACTTAAATGTCACTGTCATGTACAAGCATTGGAGTGTTTAATCCTCTCAGCAACTTTAGGATGGGGATGATGCTCTGTAAAGGAGGAAACTTTCTGGGAGTCTGAAATTGAAGCTGGGTGCCCTGTCTGATCTGAGATCACAGAGCTAAGCAGAAGTCACTGGTGAGAACAGTTAGGACTCAAGCTCACACTGTGGAACACAATAGTCAAGTCCCTGCCTATACTGATACAAAGATAGCTTTTAGGACTTAATATAGATGCAATCTCTTTCTGCCATGGATGTGATCTCATTCTTTTTCAGAGTGCATTGGTCAGTGACAACCATGCAATGCAACCCATCACCTCATTTCCAACACAGACTGGCACATGGCTGGGAATCAGCTGACCTTGACTGCCAGCATCAGGCTAGGGGTAGATCCCATCCACATGTCTCCATTCTCTTGGACCAACAGGCTCCTGGGACACAGGTTTCTCCCAGACTATCACCAGAGCACTAAGGTCTAGCAGGAGTCTCCTGCGTGCAGTGTCTGCTGCACTCTGCAGCCTACCTGTGTGGTCAGGGGCCCTCTCCAGACCCAACCTGCCCACCTTCCGCCCTCCACCACATTTGCAGGCTCTCCAGAAGGGTGCCTGCTTCTGACCTTCCCTGTTCCACCCATGGAGCCAAGGAAGTAGAGGTGGAGGGGCACTACACAAAGACCTGATGCCAGCCTCTTGTGTCCTTTGGGTCAGAACAGGGGAGGCTGGATAGGCCGTGCAGCCTCCAGACCCAGGCATGAAGAGATGATAACAAACATCCACAGCAGCACTGGAAAAAACTAAGAAGATTCATCTAAAATAGACAGCCAGTGCAGCTCAGAGTTTTAGGCTGGTCTATGCCAGAAGTCCAGCAGGGACTAGATTCAAGAGTGTAGAGCCGCAACAAAGCAGGAAGGCACCCTTCACTTTTGACTGCTGCTTCTCTCTGCTCTGTGGCAGAAGTGGCCTCTACTTCAGGTGATAAGGAATGACCACCAGCCATGGAGGTGCAAAGTGAACCTGAGGCATCTTCCTGGGCTGGAAATGATGAGGTGGTATAAAAGGACACAAGCCTGAAGGGGTGCCCACTGGCCAAATTTAGGACAATGTGGACATCGAAATGAAGAACAATAAGAGGCCAAACCTGACGACCTATGGCTGCCCTCTCCCCGATGGTCACATCAATGTCCACCAATTCCAATTAACAACAAAGAGTCAGCAGTTTATACCAATGATTTGCTTTGTGGTTTTCTGAAATGATGTCACTCTAGCCTAGGCTTCACCTCAAGCCCATAAACTTCCAACTTCAGTGTCCTGAGTATTGGGACTACAGTCCTGTACCACTGTGCCCAGCACCAATAACTTAAAATTTTTCAAGTACTAAAGAACTCTCCTTTGAGAACTATAGATAGAATAAATGAGAACAGAAAAAATCACCATTGTATGCGCAACACAGTAATAACTGATTTAAGTATGCTAATAAATGTCTTGGTAATGACTGATTTAAGTATGAATTAATAAAGGTCAAAGATTTTTAGGGAACAGTAAAGGCCAAATTCTAGAAGCTTCTGTTTTAATCAGCTTCTTAAAGTCAACCCCAGGACAGTTGGCACAGTGTCCCCTAAAAGGACACTTCAGGGGTATCACCTGCATTACCCAAGGAGCCCTCCTGCCAAACAGATAATAGGGAGTAAGGGTAACCCGAGAGGCCTCAGGGAAGAACAGAGATGTTCTGCCATATCGTTGGCCTTGATTCTTTCAAAATATTACTGTCATGAAAGACAAAGGGAGGTGGAGGCAGTGACCCAGGTTAAAGGCAGTACAGACTGTGACCTTGATTCAAGCCCAAGAGACTACAGAGACCACTGTAGAGAGTAAATATCAGATGATGGAGAGACTATGAGGCAATAGAACTGCATCGGCCCTGTAGTACAGAGTAGGGTGATCATCTGTGGTTATGTAGAATGCAGCTTCCCAGACTGTGGCTCTGACCCCATGTGGGGTGTCCTAGTTAGCTGTGACTGTCACTTGACACAGCCTGGAGTCACCTGAAAAGGGAGTCTCAAGAGATTTCCCAAATCAGGTTGGCCTGCATATCTGTGAGGGATTATCTTGATTGTTAACTGATATAGGAGAGCCCAGCGCACTCTAGGCAGCACCCTTCCCTGGGAAGGTGGTCCTGGGTTGTATAAGAAAGCTAGCTAAGCTTGGGCCTGTGAACGAGACAGCAAGTAGTGTTCCTCCATGGTTTCTGCTTCAAGTTCTTGCCCCAACTTCCTGCTCTGAATTTCTGCCCTGACTTCCCTCAGTGTTGGACTATCACCTGGAAGTGTAAGATGAAATTAAACCCTTTTTTCCTCTAAGTTGTTTTTACTTAGAGTGATCAGAGCAACAGAAAGGAAACTAGAAGATGGGGTCTTCAAAAGAGTTGGCAACATTCAATTTTCTGAATGTACAATGACCAAAGATTAATTCAAAATCATAGTGAATCCCAGGTGTTTATGGCAGCACCCTTCTTAATGCATCATGGAACTTTACTGTAGCCTTGGTTTTGAGCACACACCACACACATTCTACATTGCATATGCCATCCATCACTCCACACCAATGAATGGCCTGAATACCTTGGCTCAGGTTTGAGACAACTAAATTATGAATTGAGTGTTTTAACTGTACAAAGTTTGCTGCTCTTATAGAAACATGCTTTAATTATGGAAAACAAAGACTTAATATTTTCCTACCATCATTCCTTAGCATGTAACTGTCACATTAGCATGCCTTTGGGTGGTGGTGCTTTGAATGTTTGCTGTTCCAGGGGGCTGGATAGATGGCTCCATCATGTCCATTGCAAAAGCATGAGGACTGAGTTTCGATCCTCAGCACCCACAGAAAAGTTGGGGGTGGTTATCCACTCTGTAACACTAGCACTGTGGGCAAGGGGGTGCCATGGAGACAAGATCCTCAGAGCTCCCTAGCCAGCCAGTCTTGCCAATCAGTAAGTGCTGGGCTCAATGAGAGAGTCTGTCCCCAAAAACATAAAGGTGGGGCTGAAAAAATGACTCAGTGATTAAGAGCACTTCCTACTCATGCAGAGGACCACGCTTCAGTTCCCAGCACCCACATGGTGGCTCATAACCACCTGTAACTCCAGTTCCAGGGGATCTGATGCCCTCCTCTAGCCTCTGGCGGCACCTGAGTGCACAAGGTAAGGGTGCTGCCTACAGTGGGCTAGGCTCTCCTATATCAGTTACCCATACAGCAAAAGATTCAAACACATAAAAAAATGTAAAAAATTTTTTTTGTCTTTTTGAGACAGGGTCTCTGTGCTGGATAGCTTTAGTGTCAACTTGACACACCTGGGTTGAGGGAGCCTCAATTGGGGAATTGACTCCATTGGACTGGCCTTTGACAAGGGGCCAATTGTGCTGGATAGCTTTCGTGTCAACTTGACACACCTAGGTTGAGGGAGCCTCAGTTGGGGAGTTGCCTCCATTGGACTGGACTGTTGGCTATATCTGTGGGGCATCTTCTTGATTGTTGAGTGACATGGGAAGGCCCTGCCCACTGTGGGTGATGCCACTCCTGGGTAGGTGAGCCTGTGTTGCGTATGAAAGCAGGCTGAACATGGGCCAGGAGAAAGCCAATAAGCAGCATCCCTCCATGGCCTGTGCATCAGCTTCTGCCTCCAGGTTCCTCCCCTGAGTTTCCACCTTGGGCTTCTGGATGTACTGTTGAACTGTGACCCAGGAGCTGAATGCTGAATAAACCCTTTCCTCCCCAAGCTGGTATTGGTCAGAGTATTTTGTCACAGCAATGAAGAACAAACTAAGACAGTCTCCCTGGAATTAAAGTGTGCCACCACGTCCAGCTAATATTAAATATTTAATATTAAAAATAAATAAAATCAAAAATATAAGCTGGGTGTAGTGGTGCCTGCCTTTAATTCCAGCAATTGGGAGGTAGACACAAGCGGATTTCTGTGTAATTGAGGCCAGCCTGGTCTACATAGCAAGATCTAGGCCAGCTGGGGTTATAGGGAAACCATCTGGAAATATCCCCCAAACAAAACCCCCAAAACTATAAAGTAAAACAAAACAACAAATTTTTAAAGGTGGACAGTAATTGAGGAAGGCCTTCTATCAACCTCTGGCTTATATATGCATGCACATCCACATGCACACATAAACATGCATATACTGTTGTATAGTGTCATGTATGTGCACAAAATGTCTCTGAGTTGCTGAATTGAGTTTAGTTTTAAAGAGTTGTTAAGTGGGAGCTGGAGAGATGACTCCATGGTTAAAAGCACTTGTTGTTCTTCTAGAGAACCCTGGTTTGGCTACGAGCACCCACAACTGTTTGTTACTCCAGTTCCTCATTGCTCTCTTCTGGCCTCCATGGGCATTGCACACATGGGCCGCACCTACATACTGCGGACAAAACACTCATACACATAATTTTTTTAATTGTTAAATATATTTGGTTTTGGATTAAGACAGAATTTCCAATAATTTCTGAAATGACCTTAAATATACTCTGCCATTGTGTGCTACTTATTTTTGCAAAGGGGCAACTCTCAGCATTGGCAATCATAAAATCAAAATATTGATCAACTCTGAGAAATGTTGAAGATGTTCTGTGCTCTGCAGTATCAAATATTCAGCCAAGATTTACCAAGATTTAATTTTTTATGTAAAAATATATATGCCTGGGGCTGGAGAGATGGCTTAGAAGTTAAGAGCACTGTCTGCTCTTGTAGAGGACCAGGTTAGTTCCTAGCACCTACATATGGTGGCTGACAACTGTCCATAACTCCAGTTCTAGGGGATTATGACACCCTCTTCTGACCTCCATAGGCACTGCATGACATAGATGCCCTTATATACATGCAGGCAATATACTCATACAAAATAAAATATTAAAAATAAACATGGCCATCTCATTAGTATGCAAATTTTCTTTTTTTTCTCATTAGTTAACAAATTATAAAATAATAAGCAAACAAAAGAATTATTTTAAGAAGCTTCTTTAATATTATTTTTATTTTTTTTCTAAGATGCATCTTTTTCAAAATTGGCTGTAATTTAATTGTTGAATTTTGAATTATTACTGTTATACAATATTGTACTCAGTATAAACCCTGTTTCCCCCAAAATTAAATGAGGTTTTAACCTTTAAACAAGATCTCTGTGT